AAAAAAATATAAAATAAAAGGGAAATTTGATGTAGAAGTGCTAAAACAGGAATGTGTCCTTTTATTATCGGTTGTGCACACGGTCCTGGAGTGAAAATGTGCTACACGCATACACATGCAAATTCATCCAGAAAATCTGTAACAGTTTCATCCGAGAGAGTGCTATTTACCAAATAGCTGCTGCACTGGCAACAGCAGCAGCACCACTAATGCCCTCTGGACCGGTTATACAGAATCACAATTATGTGCTGCCAACCAAAGCTTCAACCGCTCAAATAAAAAGCCCTCTGCATACGCACATTTCCATTTAGTCACTGTATATGGCTGGGCAGAAAAGCTTTTGACAAATAATTTAAAAAATAAAATTCAGCACATAAATTGGCACATATGTAGTGTTGATCGTTGTTCCAGAACTGTGGAAACTACGAAGCTGGAACATTGGATTCTCTGTTTCTGAGTTAGCATTAAGCCAAAAATCCGTTTTCGAGTTATACTCTTAGAACAAAGATTTTATCATCACGGAATAAAAACAGTTATAATAAATCCCGACCACTATAATTTAGACCTATAGCGCCTAATTTATGGCCTAAGGCCAAGATTAAGCCAGCATTATTCATTCAGTTCAACAGCCGACTTCATTTTTTTCAGTTTTCACATACGCAAAAGAAATTTTTCGGCTAATTCGGATATTGAGTAGTGTGGAAGGAATGGAAGAACGATGATTTAAAGCAGAGAGCAATATGAGCAGTGCTTAGAAAAGAAAACCATAGAAAGCTGGTGGCTGCTGATGGAACTTGGTATCACTCGGGCTCTTCCGAGTGCCTTCGACATTCATGGAAAGCGAAATGCGGAGTTTTATTTTATTTTACAAAAATCATGGTTGTGCATCGACATCGATCAGATAACGAATGTTGAGAGTGTGAAGCCAGGCGTGCTCGTTACTGAACCAGAATTTATAGACGCCACTCTCTTGGCATTGGAGCTCGTCCTTCAGTGGTACAATTGTAGGTCCGGGAATCTTCTGAAGTGAAAAAAGTGAAATGATCCAATTTTATTTTATATTCATTTTTGCAGCAATCTAAAACTTTGCGCGGGCACAAAACGGGCTTTTTTAGGGACGGCTTTAACCAAGGCAAAACCGCCGGCGACTATCAAGAACGAGTATTACTGGTTCGACAAGTTGTTAGGCACTAGAGCAAGTTAGCCTATCACCTGTCAACAGTCAATACCTTCTTCCTGTGCCTCTTCTCAGTAAGACAAAAGCACTTGAGAAGTAGGTCAAGCGGTGGTAAGTGCAAACAGCAATCACCCGCTGATAAAGGTGTTAATGGCTCTCTATTTTGTGGATTACTCACAACCGTACTGACGGCAGACCTGACTCCCTGGTATACGCCAGTATCAGTTTATCGTCGAAACGAATGAACGAATCGTAGAGGGATTAGTTGTTCCAGCACTGGTTTTGACCTATTGAACGATAACATTACTACTTTCAGTTGCCTCATACCCACCAGTCTATCATTCTATTGTCGAAAACTTCTTCCTGATTTCACATGCAAATTGGAACACTTGCCCAGTTTGAAGAATTCTGGGTAGGGCTTCACTGGAAGTAATTATCCATATGTTTTAAACATTAAAAAATCAAAATATTCTGAGCTAAATACTGAAAATAATATCAGCTGGATCATGTAAAAAATAATTCTAATTACTGTTATTTTGGAGCAAATAAGTGAAATCCGGAAAGGCCAATGCATAAAAATTTGCAAATATTCAATTTTCAAGTGGCTTATTCAGGAGGGAAAGTTGGTGACTTAAAACATTCTATTCGCAAAAATCTTTTGAGCAGCATAAAATCGATCGTTGCTGACAAGCTGAAATTGGTATTCTTTTTTGGTGCTTACGGGGCTGCTATAACTGACCGTGAAAATAGGATAAATGTTGAGCATTGAGTTTATTTCCTGAATTGACTCATTTTCTGCGTAATAAACCGTGTATCCGAAATGGCCGTCAGTGTGAATGCACCACCGTATCACCGAACCCTGCAAAAATATCAGCTATCGAATTGTGTATGAATTTGAGGTTTACTATTGAATATTGTTCCGGAAATTACAAAAACTGTCATAGGGTTTTTTTTTTAGTGCGCTGCGTATAATTATACTGGCATGATACAAAAGCATGCCAGATAAGGCTGCATGTTAACCCTTTGTATTTTGATGGTCCCCAGTTTTACTGCATTCGAGAAGTTTACAAAGCCCTCATTGATTCCAGGCACCCAGTTGTAGCCAGTATGCTTTAAAAATGATACTCTATGAAACGCCACTAAAAAAATAAATTCCTGTGCGTACTTCATCTCATGTAAGAGGCGAAGGCACTTGAAAGTGGCAGGAGTGGTAACATACTGTCGCGTTGCTACAATCGTCAATGATTTACCTTTTTCGTAAAATTCACGGGCAAGTACAAGGTAACCCTGACATACATCAGTACCAAAAACAATTGAAAAAGGATCGCAGGTGGGTTGGTTTTTCTACTGGCGAGTCAGCACCATCGATTCGAATTTGATTATTTTTGGAACAGGAATGCACCTGGAAAATGCAACCTTGTTGACTTTTAAATCAATGGTTCCCGTTTTGCCGGGTCCAATTGACAGTGTTTTTGCGCTTTCATTCGGTTTTTCTTTGTAATATCCTGCTGGGTCCAGTGGCTCAGCGAGCTCCAGTGGAGCTTTGAATGCCTAAAATTAGAGCTTGAAAGAACGAACAATGTTTATCCGAACACATCGAAACTTGATTTAATTTTTTACGAGAATATCTTCGAAATCTTCAAAGCCTGATTTAACCTTCGAAAAGATTTAATCTTCGAAACCTGATTCAATTTTCTGTAAGAAAGTTATGCCCTGATAACTCTTTTGCTGGGACGCTCAACTTCAAAACTGCGAAGTGCGTAGATTTCCAAAATGCTGCAACACGAATCACTGTTTCTGTCTAACAAAGCAAAAATATCAAGCGTACGCTTATTTCTCGTTTTGCAAGCCAACGCTCCACAACTAGTTACGAGGAAGAATTCTTGTAAGGAGCTAGAAGTACTGCCTAAATTAAAAGGTTTTATAAACATATTACTTTCTTGGGGAACTTTTAATTATCTTTGCAGTCTGCTTGCATCGTAGCAAATGTATCAGCAGCTGTTGACCTGAAGCTGGACTCATATTTTTCAACTAATTTACTGAGCTAACCTGAGTTTTATCGTCATTCCAAAATGAAGGTAGTACTTCCGGGACGGCCATTTCGAGTACCTCGGTTTTCCAGTTTGAGCCAAGTATGCGGACCTTGTTTCGTGTCCGTTCTGGTAGTAAAGGCCTAGCTATTGCCCTGCAAAATATTGCCAGTTGTTTGCATTTGAGCAATGAATTTTGTCCAACGCAGACAGAAAGCAAATCGAAAAAAGCGAATTAAAACAGTGCTGAAAAACATGGAGCCGATGAATCCAAGTAAGTCCAAAGGACTCACCAAACCGCAGCGATGAAGGAAGGTGCGTTGAGAAGCACGAATGTGTGTATCATTTCCACGTAATGCTCACTCATGAATGCGGAAATACCAGATAGGGCGCCAGTGAGCAGGTTGACCAGTCGCTTGTCGTACTTTAGTCCCGTCAAGTCCATGAAATACAGGATTGAAGCCTGCTCACCTTCAATACTCTTTTTTAAAAGCAGACCAAATAAACGATTCATTCATAAGTCAAATGCAATTGGACTGCCCGAAAGGAAAAAGAAGCGATGTGAGGAAGTGGTATTTTAATGATTTTTAAGCGAGTTCCAGAATTTTCGTTCAACAATGAATTCAAGAGCATTGAAGCAAGGCATAGCTTACACTTTGGCGGTTTCAACCAGCCCAAGAGAACCGGATAAGCTTCGCCTCAGTAACCTATAGCGGTACTGTAGCGAATAGTGCCGAATGGTTGAGAACCACAAAACGTGCTTCCCACGTGCGGACGGATGAGATTTTAAGCGAGAAAACTGCTGGCTCAGGAACCAGAAAAGCTAGGCTATTTTCAACAAACTTCCGGTCACCAGAAATTATTCATTTTCCTTCATGTAAAATTTACGGTAATGAATATACAAGTTAAATGAAGCAACAATTGCTCATGCCGTTAACGACTTAATTGTTCCCCAGCGAGTTCCAGTGAAAAGATCGGACGATACAAAGCAGGTTTAACTGGAGCACCCAGAACAGATGATTAAAAATTACCGACGTTTGAATAAATCGAGTGAAAAATAGAAGGAAGCGCTGTTTTGGACAAAAGTGGTGAAGCTGAGCAGATGATTTGTTAAGAGCTAGGAAAGGGCTCCGAATTCTGAACAACAAAAAGATGCACCTCGGCCTAGTGCCCTTTCTGTGGCCAGTTTTTACATGAAAACAGTGCAAGGAAAGACTTGTGGATTGAGCAGACTAACCTGTTTCGCGTTCCATTTGCATGACGCGACGGAGCATCGTTTCGAGATCGTGCAAGCGAGCTTGCATTATTTCACTGATCGAGTAGGTCAGCATCATTCCCCAATAGTCGTTTCGACCCGACTGCTCCACGTTTACGATAACATTTGGAGTATTCACGGCCGGACCGGTCAAACCAACCTGATCAATTTTTTTTTCTTTTCAGTGCGCTTCCGAGACCCCGTCTCCCTTTCCGAACGATTAAAACAAAAGTGACACCGTAAAAGTGCGCCGCAACTCAAATCAATCACTTTCAAGGTACGCACAAACAAAGTGGCATTTTCATATCAAAGGCCGAGTGATGTACTTTATGGAAAAGCTAATGATGCGGAAGAGCTTCCGTGAAGTTGTTTAAAACATTTCGTTGTTATTCAACCAGCTCAATTATTGGTGAATGTGTAAATTTGCTCAGAAAAGTTGAGAGCGCATCATAGTTAGGAAGATATTACTGGATGAAGTAATGAGCGTTTTTTTTTTTTT